GGGCTGTGCGCTCTGCTCCGGGCGGGGAAGGTTAGGTCGGTCTTAAGCTCGGGGTGGGAAGCTGTGAGTGGGTTACACCGTTGTATGTGCCGCTCGTCAGGCTTACACACATGTTCCATATGTATAAAAACTGTGAAGTTTTTGTCCCTGGTTGCGCAAGTTTGGTGGAACGATCCTCCTTGTGCCCAGCGCTGAATACGCAAATACCTGCTACTCAGAGATACAAGTCTGTGAGTAGTTCTTTTCCAGGCTTTTCTCGGCATCACTAAACTTCTCAGTGGCCATTCGAGCAGGATTCTATCCCGTTGCTTGGCCTCTTAGCTAACAGTCAGGAAATACTACTAAGAAGGAGGTGCTAACAGAGTGGTGTGTGAATACTCACTAAACCTGAAGCCTTCGGATGACCTTCGTGCACACCAGAGTGTGCTAAAGGGAAATGCCACCTGTTAGTCAGGCTCTCATTTCTTTACACCGGCAAGCTGAGTGCTGGGAGCAGGGTTGTGGGTTAGGAGAGTTGACTGTTTGGTTCTCCCTGCTGCCTAATGGTTAAGAGTGTAAAAGTGTTTTAGAATGGCAGTTGAATATTGTCTATAACAGTTTGGGTTTGGTTTCAGGTGTCTTTTTTATGTGACCATGAGCCATGCTGATTTCTTTTGTTACAGCATGAGCCTTTAATCTGATTTTTATTTTTTTCTAACAGTATGCACTTGTATATAGAACATATTAGAATTGTGTATAGACTATATGATTAGAATAGATATTAGAATTATGTCAACATATCCTAAAATATCTCTTTGAATTCCTCTTTCACCTCTCTTGAGTACAGCCCCTTCTATAGGTTTATTAGCTACCTCATGAAACCATTCTTAGAAATTACTAATTCCCTGTAATTATTGTAATATAACCAATTTCTCGGAGTATTCAGCATCCATCCAGTGGTAACAGAAGGCAGCAGGTGTGCCCAAAGGCTTTTGATTTTGCTGAACTTACTTGTGATTTGTTACCTCTTTTGTTACTTTAACTATATAACTGTAAACTATGTTTTTCTTCTCTCCTGCAGTGCTTCACATGTGGTCGTCTCTCTCGTGAAAAACTATCCAAACTATCTTATTATAAATCTAGACAAGGTAATACCTTGTTTCTTTCTTGATGTGGAGTACTGTTTTAAGGTGTTTTTTTTTTTATGCAGTCTATAACACGTTGAAATTTACATGGGTTATTGTTAGTTGTTAATTTTTTGTTTCATTTTCCATTTGTTCTTAAGTAAAAAAAAAAAACAACCGTTGTTCATGTTCCCACCACAAATAATTATTTGGGGGGACAAAAAAAAAAAAGAAAAAGAACTGAGCTTTTCAAGTTCTAAACTCCTGTTTAAGAGTTTTTGCAGTTAAGGTATGTTTTGGAGTTCTGTGTTTTGAGAGCTTCATTATCTCTACTTGCAAAATAGTTTGGGTTTTTTTTAAATAAGTTTTTACTTTGTTCTCAGATTTTTCTCAATTAGGCTGAAATTGACTTAGCTCATTTGCTTCCATACAGCCCTCCTAATGATGTAGTGTGGTTATTTCTCTTTAGCTCGACTACTGTGCAAGCTTGAAGAATCTTGAAACTGTCTCTGAGAAGGAAAACTACAAGTTTATCCAGGTGATAAAGACTTCTCTTCTAGGAAACTTGACCTTTTACTGATTTTTATCCCTGTGTACCAAGGTAATGTGGTCTCCAGAGGTACCCAGACTAGAAGTTACTTATTTCAGTTGTGGTAAACTTGAAATTACTTCTACTAAGTCATTGTCAAAAATGAGCCAGCCACACACATTGTCTGAGTGACATGAATAATGTGACGTACATGACAATCAAATGATCATAACAGCATTTACTTTATCTGTTTGCCATGTTGATACACTTCAATATTTCGCCCACAGAAGTCTGTGACAATATGCAGTGTGTTCTGTCTCTTACATGAAACGTCTTTGAAGGTTTCATGAGGTACAGAATTGGTGAAAGCATCATTATGAGAAGAGTGGGTTTAGGGATGGTTGTTTCACTTCCCAGAAGTGGTATGGACAAAGTGGACTTAGATGCAGCTCCTCTGGTGCTATCTTAGATTTTCAAACACTGCCACTTATTACATTCCCTGGTGTGCAACACACTCTTGTTCTGTTAGTACTGGACATCTGGCTACGTTCTTGCTCATGCAGTTGTTGATGCCATGTAGTTCATTGTTGTTTTGGAATGGGATCTCAAGGGAACATTCAAGGCCTGCCCTTTCTCTGTAAAATTTTGCCAGGTAAATTAGTTTACTGCTTCTTAATTTTTATTTTCAGACTGGAGATGGATTTTGATTTATTGTTCAGATAAACATTCTGACTGCTGGGCTTGTAAGCTGAGGCTCTTCCCCTGTATGAAAGTCAGTGCTGATGCTGGTCTCTGTTGTGGGGCTGCCCAAAGTTGCAGGACACCTGAGAAATGCATATAGTGGAGTTTTCTGGAAAAGCAGCTTTGTAAGAGTCAGTAGATTTAAGTTTCTTTTCCTTAGATTCAGGCAAGGTTGGGAGTTGAACTTGTCTCCACCCATTTGGTCACCCCTATGACTGTTCACGTTTTTGTGAACCTCTTATTTCAGGAAGTGATTATCTCTGACCTATTGGGATAAAAGTTGCATGAGGGGAAAGGGGTTGTCTGTATGAGACATGCACATGTATGCAGTTTCAGCATGCCCAAACTGGGTTTTTGGTTATTTTTCCTAAGGTTTTTGACTGTTTCCAGTACGAGATAGGAAATGTATGAATACTATAGAAAAGCCCTGTTACCTCGATTGATATTAATGTTTAATAGCTGGGGACAGCATGGAGTTCTAGAAGACATCCTGTAAACAGTCAGATCGTGATGTGAAGCAGGGGAGCAGTGACAAGGAATGATGTGGCAATCCTGCTTTTGAACTAGAGTAGGAATATGTTTGCACAAAACTTAACACTGGTATAATTAATTCCAACTTTTTAGGGTTTTTCTGGTTTTGTTTTTTTTAAAGGGGAAGATTGATCTGAGCTCAACAGGCAGCTGACACTGACAGGAAAAAGTGCATTGGAAAAATAAGCTCTGATGTGCAAGCCCTGTGATAAGAACAACAACACTGGTTTAGGAGAGGGCAGGAAGGATGACCTGTCTAGTGGTACTGTAGAAAAGAAGGCAGAGAAGTAACATTTAAAACATTTGTGCAAGGGGCTGTGTGAAAGATACAGAAACATTTTATCACAAAATGTTGTTGCTCAGCACAGGTGTATCAAGTTTGAATTTCAGTTTTTATAAGAAGAGTCAGTAATTGTAACTATTTAGTTCAAAATAATGCATGAACCTGAAGTGTATTTGCTGGAGTATTTCAGTTTGTTCAGGGATGAGAAACAGGAAAATCAGTTTGCTTTCCTCCCATTTCTGAAACAGTACTTTTTGAGTCTGTTGTTCAGAACTGTTCTTGAGAACTTTTTAAAACATAGGTACATTTGAACTACTTTTAGTTAATTGCCTTGTCATTGAAAATGCAAAAGTCTTCTTCCACAGGACACCTGTTCTGCAGTCCTATCTTGTTTAAGTTGAGCCAAGAGGTAAATATCTCAGCCTGCATTTACCTTTAAATGCTGCTGCTGTTTCTGTGTCAAACTAAAGAGTCGCTCGTGTGTTGATGCCTGACTGTTTCCTAAATACATCAATTTTACAAAAAGGAAATACCAGAACAAACAATAAAAAGCAAAATCCTTACGAGTCCTCCAAGCTGGTGGAAGTCGCTCGCCCTGCATGGTGCCACTGGATGTCGCTGTCTGCCAGCCAGACTGGTGACTCTCATCCCAGTGGGAACGTGGCATTCAGCCTCAGCGTTAGAGTTACACTTCTGCTGCTGTCCTGTGTGTGTCTGGGGACGATACTATTTCTAATGTTACTGTAAATCCTGAAATAAGTTTCGTTGAGGCTGTTTCTTAAAATGTGTGAAATTTTGTATCTGGTGTTATTTCAGACGTGGCATTGATAAGTTTCCCAAAACTCAGTTGGTAGTGCTGTTTGTATCTTGTGCTCTCTTTCTAATGGTTTATATCTGACACTTGGTATAAATGAAAGCTGACTATTTTCTCTCAAAATTAATTTGCTAATTTTTTTTTCCTGTTTAGGGAGATATTTGTGAACCTGATTTTATAAAGCAGCTCTTTGAAACTGAGAAAATAGATATAGTCCTTCATTTTGCAGCCCAAACACATGTAGGTGAGCATTGCTGCATGTTTTGGTATTATTTTCCATGGCTATACATGCTTGAAATACATGCTAATATTTTTTTGCCTTTTCCTTTCCTATAACGCAAGGATCCACTTTGTCTGTACAAAATACACTGCTCAATGTCTGGTGGCCTTTGTAACCTAAAGGAGTTCACAGCCTTGATTTAAAAAGTGCTTTATCTGACTGTTGTCTGTTTTTGTTGCACATAAATGGTATGCCCTTTCCTTTTGTACATTTTTAAGTTCTATCTACACTGACATGTAAGTGACATTGTACTGGTGGAGTCCTAAAGACAACAGAAAAAGAGTTCATACATAGTCTCAAGTTTTCACTTGGTCAGCTCCAATCTTGCCGGAAAAACCCCACAGTGTGGAAGCTGAAGGATTGAGCATAAGTCCCTTTGGAATCCTGCCTCGGTTCTAAAAAGAGAGAATGAATTATACTTAAAAGTGCTTATTTCAGATTACCGTTCATCTCTAACACTGTTAATGAGAACAATTCCTGCCATGCTCCTTTTGTCATGAGGAGAAATTCTCAGAGAATTCCCCGGGAAAATACCTCTCAAAATTGTTAGATTTGATAGGCAGTAAGTCATTTGGTCAGTGGGACAATTGTAAGAATTAAAACTGGTACTGGTTAATTAGCAGTAATAGGTATATATTACTGCATCTTACAACTGTCTTTGAATGACTCTTCTGTTACGGAGCTTAGCCCTTCCTAGTGAGAGGAGAAGCAATTATGCTGCCACTTTAAATAAAGTTAGCTTATGTTATTTGAGGTTAAAAAGTCCATAACCAACCAGCTTTTGCTCCTGATTTCAGCCTCTTGTTGAGAGCAAGGGTTTTTGTCTTCATGTAAGTGTAGGAAGTGCCTTCATTTAATAATGACCTTGCTATCTGACAAGTCTATATTGCAGCCTTCAATATTATCGTTAAATATTATGTCTTGCCTAAATTTTATCAGAATTGTCTGCATTTTTTTCTGTAGATCTTTCATTTTGGCATGCTCTGGAATTCACCTACGTGAATGTTTATGGCACTAATGTGCTGGTTGCTGCTGCACATGAGGCCAACGTGGAGAAGTTTGTCTATGTTAGTACAGATGAAGTGTATGGAGGTAGCACTGATGAGGTGAGTTTGAAAGTACATGAGGGTTTTCCTTGCTTTACTTGCTTTTAATAGTGAAAATAAAATTAGTTTAACTTTTCTTGGCCTGTGTAAATGTGTGACTTCTGAGCTATTTTTGACAATACTGGAACTTGTAAATAAGCACTGGTTGTTTCTGGAAAGCTAAGTATCAAAATTGTCCAGATTTTTATTTTATTTTTTTTCAACATGTTTCATATTTAATGCTTATTACCAAAAGCAGTGAGATTGGTCATTAATGGCATATGAATATTCCTCAGAGGTAGTATCAAAGGAATGTATTATACAGGTTTTGTCTTGGAGTATTCATGAGACTTCAGTAATGTGCACAATACGTTGTTCTTTTCTTCTACTTTTTTTTCCTTCTCTGCCTTAACTATGAAATTGAAAGGCAAGGAACTGCCTTTATACTGGCTAAAATGCTAACACAGCTGTAGGTAGTGACAATTCAAACAGGAAACAATTCCTGAATTACTGTAGAAAATATTCAAGTGTTTCTTCTTGTTCTATGGAATTCTTTGATTTTTGACAATTTATGCCTAACCTTAAACCAGGAAATGTAATTTAGCTGGGTAAAAAGGCAAATTATTCATGTTTCTCTTTGTAAAGGCATAAATAACAGCCAGGTAGTCATGTGCCATAGTCCATGAAAATAATAATTTGCTTCAGAAAAGTCCTATACACTTTCTTACTGTTGCAATGTCTTTAGTAGTTCCTTCAACATGACTTCAATCTGTAGACTTTTATGATACCCAAGGATGATGCTTTCTTGCACATAGACCAGCGGTTTGACTGATACCTTCAAGTGAACTCTTTCTGCCTCTGGGCCTTGAAAAGAGCACTCTAATCTGGTTTTTGTTCTCCTTGTAAATCATACTAGACGCTCTTGAAGAGTTTTTTTGAAGAAGGTACATTAACTTGCCAGGTAAAAGACAAGAACAGTGAGTCTTTTACTCATGTTAAGGTGATTTTTACAAACCACACCTTGTGTAGTATCTCTCCTTTTGGTTTGGGTTGGGTTTGGATTTTTCCCCCCAAGTGAGAAGTAGATTGAAGTAGTAGGATAGCCTGGAAGGGACCTGTTCTGGAAGAGGTCAAAATTGTGGAAGCCTTGCTTTGGAGGGCTTTGGGTTGTGATTCTACTTTTCTTACAGAAATAAAGTTTATAGAGATGTTTAAGAAAACACCCCTCATATTTAGGACTGAAAGGTCAATTTGCTAGTGGGAATGCAATGGCACTGAGGCAATATGAGCCTGAAAAGGTTTTGAACCTCCCTGTAGCAACAGTGATTATTGTACCACATAAAAATCTAAGGACCTTCTTCTGTGGGTTACTCGGCTGGAAGTATAAAAATACTGGTGCTGGTAATCTGGCTGCCACCTGTGTTTGATAAATAGACTGTCTTTTGTTAAGGTCTTCTGCAAGTGGAAGGGTGACGCTGTCAGACTGGTGTGCTTGGGTGTTTTGAGATTTTTCTTTTGTAACTTTAAGACTTACATGGGAAAAAGAAACTGAGTAATGCAGATTCTTTGTTTCATTTTAGGAATTTGATGAATCCTCACCAAAACGTCCAACAAATCCCTATGCCTCCTCTAAAGCAGCTGCAGAGTGTTTTGTTCAGTCTTACTGGGAAAGGTACCAAGTAAGTTGATGGAAGCTTCAAAAACTCTCAAGTCCCTAATTAAGTGTCTGTATTATGTATGTAAGAGAGTAAAAGAAAGGTCACTAGTCCTGCAGTTTGGATGTGTTGGAGGATGTTCACCAGTAAGTGGAGGAGATACACTGTGAGACGGTGGGGACAGGTCAAATGTTCTTAATTTTTTTTGTTTTAAGCCTGAACTGTAACGTCTGAAGATGTGCTTTGATAAAATGGTCAAAGAAAACACTAGGAATTTAAAAACCAGTGGTAAGCTTGAAATACACAAGTATTATACAGAAGTAGAACATGCAAAATTCAAATTGCATTAAGACTATGTTTATAGTTAAAGCAAAAAAAAGGGAAGAAAAAACTCTATTAATCTGATTTGTTTAAGCAAAAATATTTAAAATTTTGAATACTTTAGCTTAAGTTTTTCACATCCTGTGTTTTTGATATAAAATTGGGATGAGTAAGATGTTAATGACTGTGAAACATCTATTTGGAATAAGTAGGAGTGAGTGAATCTTCAGTCAACCAGATATATGTGTGTAATGTCCTATGGTGGTTCCAGAGCAAACCAGAGAGGTTTCAAACATTTGTCACTTGTGGTGCTTCTGACTGGCTGAGAACGCTGGAGGCCCTTGCCTGTTTCACAGAAATATCAGTAGCTCAATTCATTCGTGTTTGTAAGGGGTTGCAGATTTTTGAGTAAGCTCTGTGCATGTGTCAGTGTATTGTTTATTGATCAGCAAGAAGCCTATAGATCTTTACTGGTATAGATTTTCTTGTGTAATCACACGTGTGTTTAATGCTCTCAAGTTTCCAGTTGTTATCACACGGAGCAGCAATGTTTATGGACCACACCAGTATCCAGAAAAAGTAAGTTAAAGTGTCTTTACTCTGAGCTTCAGTGCACCATAGTTCAGGGTTGCAGTGATGTCACATTGCTCATATTGATGGGGTGACTTTTGAAAAAAGCATCTTGCAGTTGACCTGTGATTTGGCATTTTGATCTCACACTGTGTCTTACCGTGGACACATGGTTTTGGTTGTCCATAAAACTTCAGTTAGAGACTTAGGGTTACTTACATGAATTTTACGACAGTGACTTTGTTTTGTAATTTTTCTATTTTTCAAAGAGTATTTTGGCAGAGTTCCCCTACAAATTACACTAACTCATGTGTTGTGTGCTGTAGTTGGGAATGTTTCATAAATAAGGTAAACATTTCAGCACGTGAACTGTGAGAGTGCATTGTGCCTGGTATACAAAGAGATGTTGCAGCGTGTAGAGAAAATAGATAATATGAAGCAATACATTCAGATGTCAGGTGAGAAGCAGCAGAGTGACTTGTCTTTGCGTGTGTCTATACATACCTTGCAGGGTGACTATTTGAAATGGTTATTAGTGAGAGGGAGTTGCCTTTCTAATTAATACCAAGATCTGCTTTGGTAGTGAATGGGAATACAGTGATGGAATGAAAGTGATAATCACACATACTCTCTGGAATCTGAAACTGGAGTGAAGTGTAGGTATATTTTACAGTTTTCAGTGAGGGATTTCTACATTTGAACTGTTTTTTACATTTTGGGTTTCTATTTCTTTCCCCAAGTAAATTTATTTTCCCTTACTTGCATTATTGCAGGTGGATAAGGAATGGTTTTTGAAATGTTTTATGCTGATCTGTGACTTGGGAAATGTTTGGCAACAGGTTACATGATATTGGGAGTATATTCAGGCGATGTTTCACTGTTTACTTGGTTTTGATTTACATATATTTTTCCTCATGTACCCAGTTTTACTTACTGCTAGGAACACATTAGGCTAGATGGTCCTGTAGTTTAACTAGTATATCTGCCCCTGTGTTTAGAGTAGTAAGTTAACAAAATTAAAATGCTCAAAGTAGCTTTCTAATGGCTTCAGTTTCAAAACTTTAATAGGAGGGCCTACTATTCTGAAGTTTCTGGGATGTTATGAATGGATCTAAGTTTGTAGCTGAATATAATATTCTAAATCTTTATGCTGCAAGATAATGGCTGTAACTTGATCTGGTTTTACTTACCTTGAAATTCTCTATTGGCTCTCCCAAATTTAACTCTTTTGATGACTTACTTTTTGATTATAGATTTATTGCAATGTTGTTCTTGTTCTGAACTGTTGGCTATATCTATTTCTAGTTAGACTCTAGTGCACTACCGTGTGCAAAAAGTAATGGAAACTTTTTTGAATTTTTATAAAAATGTTATACTTGTAGTGTTACATTTGTAACAAATTTATAAATGTTATAAAAGTATAGCATATAAATGTTTAAGCTTTACAATATAATAGAGGCATCTACTCTTAAAAAACAAACCCCTTGCAGTTTCTAGGCTGGATACAATCTTTGATTAGACTTAAAAGTATTTAAAGGATCTTATTGAAATACTTAATCATACTTAACTGGTGAAGTCCCTTATTCTTTGCAGAAGAACAGCTTCTGAAATGGTGGAGTAATGGGCTTTTTTTGGTTCAATTCCTTAGGTTATTCCAAAGTTTATATCTTTGCTGCAACAGAACAGAAAATGGTAGGTAACTTGCATTTTTGTTTGTGGTATTTGTGCTGTAAAATGATAGTTATAGTTATAAATATGTGCTATCATTTGTAAAATGGCAATTTCATATCTAAGTTAGGAGTTGCTTATTTAAATAATAGGATTTCCTTAAAGTAAGGGATTGTTTGCATGTCAGCTACTCCAGGTACCTTCAGGTGACATCTAACAGCAAAACTGCTTAAGAGACAGCCTAATATATTGAATGTGTCTATTTAAGGGCTAACAGAATTGTTTTTGTCTTTTCCTGGTCTTAAGCTGTATTCATGGCTCTGGACTTCAAAGAAGGAACTTCCTTTATGCAACTGATGTGGTAGAAGCATTCCTTACGGTCCTGAAGGAGGGAAAGCCAGGTGAAATTTATAACATTGGAACTAACTTTGAGATGTCCATTGCCCAGCTTGCTAAGGAGCTAATCCACTTAGTGAGTACACAGTTCTGATGCTTTTCTTTGACAGTTTTCATTGCACGTATGAACAGTTCTTCAACAGACCTTTTGCAGCTCTGAGAGAGCTTAGGTTTGCGGTGAGTCTTGGAAGATAATAGTAGGAAAATGATGTGCTGCCTTTTCTGTGGCAGCTGTACTGTGTAAGTTTGCAGTACAGGCTGTTGTGTGCTGAACTGCTGCATCAGTTAACTTGACTGGGACGTAACTGGCATAATGATTCAATACCATTTAGTAGGGTTTTTTCATGCTGGCTGCTTTAGTTTTGCTCTGAGAATGTGGCACTATTAAAATCTAACAATTTGATTGTGGATGGTTTGGCAGTGCTTGGATGAAAGAGAAGTATTGGAATTGTTCTAGGTAGTTTTGATAATTTCAGTAGTTTGAAAACTCAGTTTATAAAAGATTTCTGTTTCTGGTTGGTTTGTTTGTTGTGTTTTGGTTTTTTTTTTAAACAAGCTTAAATCCTGTTAAACCCCCCTGATTTTTAAATGCATGTTTAGACAGCACAAGATGTATGAGGGTAATTAATACTTGTTTATCTTGTTGACAGATAAAGAAGACCAGTTCAGAATCTGAAATGGAACACTGGATGGATTATGTCAAAGACAGGTAAGGAACATGCAGGATATTCTGCACATGCAGGACAGTTGTGTCCTGAAGGTTTCTGATATTCTTGTTAAATAATTTTTTCTGAAAGTGTTTCTGCTCTGAAGAAAGGAACACTTTTGAGGGACTAAGAGCTGTTTTGCGTTCTTTTTTTGTTGTTGTTGCTGGTGGTTTTGGCAGCTATGATCTGTACAGAGCATATATATAAAAACAGGATTCCCATTTATTATTTGGATCTTTAAGCCAGAGTGTATGTCTTGAAGTAATGTGTAATGCTAATCTGTCTGTCTGCAAACTTTCTTTGTAAGTCTCACTACTGAAGTCTGCTCTGGGAAGAGGACAGGGTTTGCACAGCAGCTGAATCTTCTCTCAAGGGCAGTTTATTCAGTACTTTGTATTCACCATCACTCCAGTGAGATGAATCCCATTATCTCTCGCTTAGCTTTAGTATTTTGACGTTATGTGACTAATTCAGACTTAGATGTACTTTGTAGTACTTTCTGCAGTCAGAAATATGTGCCTATGGAGTGTAGTTAATTTTAGATTTCTATCTTAAGCTGAAGCTGCTATCTCAAAAGTAGGTGTAAGGCTCTAAGGTGCCAAAGTTAGTGTGGTGGTAAAAATGGATAACCTTTATAGATATGCCTTTGCTGTGTGTTTCCATCCTTGATTTCAGGCTTGGTTTGGCTCTGTTCTTTTATCTCCATGTCTTTTCTGCAGCAATGAGTCTGTGCTTACTTTAGGTATCACTCTCTCCAGAGTGATTAGAAATGACAAATCTACTGATAGCAGTTAAGTATTGTGGCCTTTAGAATTCTCACTTTCTGTTCACATTTGGATTGTTATCATGACAACTGAAGTGTCTTTAAATGTGCTAACTTTTGTTTTTAAAAGAAAGTGTTCTTCAGAATCCTATCTGAGTGTATCACAAGACTTTGAACAAATTGCCTTTGGCTCACATGATGTGAGTGTTCAGTAGGTCTCAGTGTGATTCAGGTTGAGATGTTTCTTCCTGAGTATTTGGCCCTGTCTGCTAATGTTTAAACATAAATGGGCTTGGGAAAACTAACCACATAGGAACACATGTTTCAGAGGATGTTGAGGTCTTATAAGAGATTCTTAAGATACAGAACTAATGATTATTTAATTCTACAATGAGCGACTTAAAGGTCGTGAGGGTTACTTGCTATGGAAAAATTAGTTCTGCTTCTGCTTGAGATTAGCATGTTATAACAGTGATGAGTACTTGATTTGTTTCTGCATGTGCACCTTGACTATTCATTATGCCAGTGCCAGTAATGCAGG